GTCAAGCAACTGTTTGGCAAGAAGCGTTGTTCGTACAGTGTGGACCTGACTGAGACCGACTGAGATGACTCCTACTTCCCAGCGTGTCCTGGGTACCCGTCGTCTATTGCCCACGCCTGTTTGCTCAAGGATCTGCAGTCTGGTAGGTCTCAGCAGAACACCTGTCCCTGCTCCACCTGGCCTCGGCAGACGGGGCTCCAGGCTGGGGCAGAGACCATGAGCTGGAACAGTGGGGTCCTCCGCCGTGTCCTGTGTCTCCAGCAGGGATCTGCAGGGCAACTGGACTCTCCCTTCTGGCTCAGGTTCCCAGCCAAGACAGCTCTGCAGAAGCTGTGTCGCCTCTTGTGACTTCACCTGGGAAGTCAGGCAGCATAACTCATTAGAAGTCAGTAACCAAGGTGGCCCAGCCTCAAGGGGAAGAGATTTAGACTTCCTCACTTCAAAAAAATTCTTAAAATGCTGTTAAAATATGTATACCATAAATTTGCTTTTTTGATCATGTTGAAGTGTTTAATTCAGCAACATTCATTTATAAGGTTTTGTGACCATCACCAAAACCTCTTCTTAATGTCTAAGTGGAATGTTTTCAAGATTCATCCATGTTGTAAGCATATCTCAGAGTTCCTCTCCTTTTTATGACAGTATAATATTTAACTATTTGTCTATTGATGATCATTTGGGTTGTTGGCATCTTTTGACACCTGTGAATAACGTTGTGAACCTGGGTACAAATATCGATCCTTGCTTTCAATTCTTCAAGGTATATACCCAGCAGTGGAATTATTGGATCGTATAATAATTCTGTGTTTTAAGTTTTTTAGGGAACTCTGATGGTATTTCCATAGCAGCTATACCATTTTATATTCTCACAAGAAAAGCACAAGGGTTCCAATTTCTCCACATCCCACCAACACTTATTCTCTACTGTGTGCGTGCTTAATATCCATTGTAATAGGTGTGAAATGGTACCTCATTGCAGTTTTGATCCGTGTTTCCCTAGTGACGAGTGATGTTGGCCATATTTTCACATGCTGTTGGCCATTTGCATATCTTCTTTGGAGAAATGTCAGTCCAAGTCCTTTGCCCAGGTTTTAATTGGGTTGTGTTGTCGGTGAATCCCCAATCTCCTTTAGCCAAGATAGTCCAAATACTACTTCTCTAGTTTTCTATCCACCAGTCTCTGTTGATGGACATCCAGGCTGTTTTTCCAACAATGCTACGGTGAGTTTTCTTGTACTCGTGTTATTATGTCCACACTGAGCATATTGGAAAATAAATTTCTCCTAGCAGAGGGATTGATGAATTAAGAGAAGGTACATTTATCATTTAGGTGGATGCCATCCAGCTGCCCATGAGAGTGGTTGTACCAATTTTTATTCCCCAGTAGTTATGTAAAAGAGCAAGACACAGCTTTAAAACTAACACATATGTTTTCAGCATCATGCCAAAGATTTCGTCTTCCTTTGGGATGCTAATCTGACATTTCCTAATACCAATTAAAACACTGGCCTAACATTTCACTCTGTTAAGGGATTTGCAACTTAATTGCATTTATTCATAAAGTAGAATTAATATTGAATAACTTGCCATCAACAGAACTAATTCTGACCCTGTGCTATGTCAAATCTATTCATGCTTTGTTTTTAAATCCTCTCCCCGCCCCCCCCCCAAAAAAATCCTGTTATTTGAACACCATTAAACTGACCTAAGAATCAGACTTGACGGCAATATGTCTGCCAGTCTTTGCCAAGAGGACAAAATTTATTTTTCTCAATTTTTTTCCCAGAGGTATAATGATGAAAATTCATGAGTGGAAATTCTTTTTCTCTTATCCAGAGTATCTAACAAGATAATTGAACTGCTCACACATCAAATGCAGCCTTAACTTGTCCACCCGCCCTGGTGTGGGGTTTAGAGAAACGCAGGCCAGCCCTCTGCAAAAACCAGCCCAGCCATCCGGGCCACCACTGAGAATTATTATGAGCGAATCAGGACCCAGTTAAGAGAAACAGATTATAACTGCATTTTGTTAATACATGTTCATAATTGGCCAGTCACAGTTTTCCAGATGGGGAGTCATTTTTCAGGGGAGAAAAGTCTCATCAATGAACTTATAAACTCAGGACAGCAAACCCTACGTGCTCGGCACAGCAGCCGCTGTGATCGTAACTGATAATGAGGACGTGCCTCGTGAAAAATGATGTGCAGGGTGAACAAGTGAGACATCTGAATCCAGATGTATCAAGACCATGGTAAACACACGCTCACTTTGTACTGTGTCGACCCAGAAGCTGGTTCACATAGACAGCAGGTCATTTCCTTTTGCGTACATGAAACCTTGGCCTTTGGCTGGTCCAAGCTCTTACCCAGCAGAGGAATCCCCGGGGTGGGGGTGGGGGGCTGAGTTCAGCGTCACTATCTCAAAAGGCAGCGAAGCCCCGATGTTCTGTAAAGGGTAGTCACCTTTGAGGACTGTCGATGATACAGAAACTTCCTCCTCAGCACCCTCCCCCCGGAGATTCAAAGACACAGACTTGCTCAGGGGACTGCCCCGTGCAGCAGAACAGGGGACCCATTGCCAAAGATCATTCAAAACCTGCCCTAATGTCTCTTCATCCATCCACGACTCGTACTGAGTGCAGAGGCCCAGAGCTGAGGATGTACATGTTATTTACCTAATAGTTTCCACATTGACTCTTGTGTACCTAGGACATTTTAGATAGAAGGATGTGATGGGCCAGAGACGTCACCTCTGATTCACACCAGAGTGGATCCACTCCCGGCTCACTGCTGTTGTCGAGACCTCTCTCGTGAATCCCGATTCCCAGCTCCTTTTAGGAAACAGTGAATTCACTCATCCACTCACTCATCCCCGACTTCATCTGGCTCCCAGTTCCTGGGCCCACTCAATGGTCCATGCTCAATGATGGGCATCCGTCCCTGCCTTCTTGACCCTGCCTGGCGTTCACCCAGGAACCTGCCCCCCGGTTACACTCCCTGGGGCTGGGACAGGAATGGAGCTGCAGCTTCTTCATGTGCTGCTGAAGCGCCTCCTCAGAGCTCCATGCTTGGTCCTATAGTCCCTCCAGCCAGCCAGGAGACCTGAGATGTCAGGGGGGAGCCCACTACCTGGACCCAGGATTGGAGCCCCAGTGGGCAGTGCGGGCCGTCACCAGCAGAGGGCACTCATGCCTCACCACTGGCTTCTCAACCCAGCAGGGCCAGGTAGGGCTGACCAGAAGGTTAAGGCGCCTGGGTGCTGCTAGGGGCACTAGATGGGCTTGGAGGGACCTCATGGGATAAAGGGGCACCAGAGTGGGCCCTTTGCACTGAGATTCCATGGAAATTCTTCCCAACCGGGGGAAGAAAATTCCACAGATGTCTCTTCACTCTGCTGAACAAACATGACCAGCTGGACAGCAGCCATCAGTTAAATAATCCTGCCACTTGGTGAAGGTCAGGGTTGCCCCATGTGCAACTGGCAGCCCGCCGTGAGCACCACACAGAGCTGGATCGGCCTCCTGCTCAACTCGGTTCTTTCCAGAGAGGACAAGTGGGGAGAGCAGGATCCCAAGCCAACGGGGTCCTCTCCAGGGCCTGGGGCCATCCTGGTTCCACCTCAAGCCGGGAAGACCAGGCCAGGACCGGGTCTTTGGCGGGTCCCTTCCATCAGTGCCCCAGACCTTAGTGTCCCCTCTGGGGAATGGAACTTCAGTGATTCTGCCTCTGTGTGGCATGGATGTGACTCACATAAATACAAGGGGTTCTGCCTGCCTGCCCCCCACCCCAGCCCTCTTCCTGCTTTGGAATCAGTGCCTTATGGCTGTGCTGGAGCTGTGATTAGTGGCGGTGTGTGTGGGGGGGTCCCTGTGCCCTCCCATGACTCCTCTCTAATTGCTCTAATCTGTGTTTTCACACTCTCTCTGGCCAGCTCCTCCCAGGAGGCAGAGTGGCCAGGCGTGGGGAGTCCCTCTGGGCTGTTGGAGCAGCCTCTGTAGAGGCCACAGGCTCCCACAGGCCAGGCTCAGGGGGACAGCCATAGAGGACGCATGGGTTGGGGGACGCTCCTGGGGAAGGGAATGAGGTGACAGGGAACGTCCCTGGGGTGGGTCCCTGTGGAGAAGAGGTGGGGTCCGGCAGAGCAGGGCTGCGGCTTCCTCCAGGACAGCATCATGTTCCAGGGGTTTGTCATGACTGTGGGAGGGCAAATTGACGTGTGCCTGTGCCTGGCCTGTGGTTAGTGCGCACAGAGCCTGGGTGTGTGTGTGTGTGTGTGAGTGTGCGTGTGTGTGTGTGCGTGTGAGTGTGTGTGCGTGTGGGTGTGCGTGTGAGTGTGCGTGTGCATGCGTGCGTGTGAGTGTGTGCGTGTGAGTGTGTGTGTGTGTGTGTGATTTGTTGGTGTGTGTGTTGTGTTGCTCCTCTGTTGAGTTTGGCCTCTAGCCCTGCGGGGTGCCTTGCTGAGCCTTTGGGAAGCCCTGCTAGGGACCGAGGTGGCCTGTGAGTCTGGGGGCAGGGCTAGGCTTGCCTAGATAGAGGCTTAAGCCCCTACCACGGGGCGGGCGGGGATTACAGTGTGTGCCTGCGCCTGCGCCTGCGGCTGCAGAACCCTCCGCCACCCACGGGTCCGCCTCTGCCCTCCTTACCCTCCTTCCCACCCTCCTTCCTCCCTGACCTGGATCCTGCCTCTCCTCCAGCTGCTGCTCCTAAATTGCTTCTCGTCCTGGGGCCCTTGGCTCTAATGGTGGAATTTCTGCCATTGTCAGGGAGAGAGTTGGGGACGTGGGGAGCTTCCTGACGCTGTCCTAGTGACAGGGACAAATGGGATTGTTGACCTTGCATTTGACAAATGAATCGCTGATAATCACCACTTATTTTTGCCTCCGTAAACCTAAGCCTGGGGACGCTCTGGGCTGCTCCTTCTGCGCCAGGAGACATCAGTGGGTCAATTGTATCAGGAGCAGCGGGTGGGAGCGGTGAGGGGGGGGTCCAGCGCTGGGAGTTCCACCTCCCGGGGGAGGCACAATAAGGAAATGAAGTTCCACCAGGAACGTCGTTGGCGGTTGATACTTGATAGCTGCCTCTGTGTACCAGGCACCGACCAGGCTCCTGCAGTCCTCAATGTCACCCTCGGGGGCCCATGTTGCAGAGTAGAAAAGAAGGCAGAGGCCGGCCTCTAGCCCTGTGGGAGAACAGTGAAGGAAGGAGGGAGGGTGGGCGTGACCAGGCCAGAGCAATCCAGGAAGGCTCCCCGGAGGAGGGGGACAACTCCAGGGACCCTCAGGAGAGCAGCTGGCTGTGAGGGCTGTCCCAGGAGACAGGAGGGTGGAGTCCCACAGCCTGGGTTCAAATCTTTGTGGCCCTGCTTCCTGACTGGGTGCTGGGGACAGGTGACGGCTTCCCAGACTTGTCCGGGCTTCCCTCCTCCCCCACTTTGCCTGGCTCCGCTCAGCGCTGCGTCCTGAGCCAGCGGCTGACCCCAGCCTGCACCAGCTCCAGGCCCAGTGAAGCCCCTCCCTCCAAAAGCACTAAGAAGTTCAAGAGCATTAAATCAGGAGTGGAGTCCCCTTCCAGGTGGAGGTCCCCGGCCACCACCTGGGTCACAAACCCTACAGCTCGCCCTGGCCCAGCCTCAGTGACCACCTGCCCCGTGTTCTGGCTGCAAATCTCCCCTACAGCTGCTGGCCCTCACCACCCCCTGCCCCTGCTGCTCGGCCACCGTGGGCAGGAGTGGTGGCTTCCCTCAGCTCACCCTGTGGGCAGGTGGCCCTAGATGGACTCCAGGTGCCACCTACAGTTAGACTTCAGATCCTTTGAGTATTGGATTCTGGAGGCAGAGAACATTCCAGGAGAGGGGAGCGGCCCTGCAGGAGCCTGCCTGAGGGACTGGCCGCTTTGCTTCAGGGGGAGGTGGCTGGAGTCAGTCCCAGGGGTGTCCCCTCTCTCAGGAGTGGGGTCCCCTCTCTCCTGGGGAATTAAGACAGTGACTTAGACGGGAACAGGTGAGGCCCGGTGGCCAGTGGCCCATGGGCAAGGGGCCAACCTGGGGAGCTGCTGTGGGACAGGCTGTGGCCTCTGCCTTGCGGACACGGGGAGCGTGGCCGCCAAGGACTGGCCAGTCTCTTCCGCGAAGGCCTTGATGACCACGGCTGTGGTCGCAGCTGGGTGGCCGCGGCTGCAGGGGCTCCGGGCCCAACTCTATTGGGTCCAGTCGAGGATCCCGCGGAGGACGCGGCCCCCTCTGGTGGTGAGAAGGGCGACCTTCCTAGCACCGCCCAGGACGAGGGGCTTCGAGGGCCCGAGAAGGCGGGAGGCCCCAAAGGCGACCATGGGTCAGACATCGGGGCCACAGGGCCTGGGCGGGGGGCGTTCCTTCGGTTGGACGCGCCCTCACCTGTCCCCGAACCCGAACCCTGGAACAGAGGCCTCAAGGGTCTGGAGCGAAGCCACCGACAGTGATACGTGCAGCTAATGGCCGGCTGGTGGCCTTGATTTGCCCAACTGAGGGGCAGCGCGTCCCCCGGCCAATCCGAAGTGCCTGGTGCCCCCTGGGAAGGTCTGCGGCCTCTGGAGAAGGCCTGGGTGTACTGGGAAAATCTGCTCTCAAAGAAAGCTTGGCTGAAAAATCAAACTTCACCAAATCTGGACATGCGGGGAGGAAGAGCTTGCTCTGTTTGATGGTTAGAAAACAGCACGCCTTGGAAATGCCCTTTTAAATTATTTTTTAATTTATTTATTGGTACTGGGGATTGAACCCAAGGGCACTTAACCACTGAGCCTCACTAAGTTGCTGAGGCTGGCTTTGAACTTGCAATCCTCTTGCCTCAGCCTCCCCAGCCACTGGGATTCCAGGCCTGCACCATGGTGCCTGGCCTCCCATTTGTTTTAAACAATCAGAAATGACTTCTGGAAGCGACTTTGAAATGGAGCCACCTCTGGAAGTGACACCAGGAGTGACACCTGTTCCCTTGAGCAGAAGCTGGGACAAGGAAGAGAAGCCGGTCCTGGGCCACATGGGTCCACACTGTTTGTGTGGGGATTTCACTCCTCATTCCTGTCCGTGGGCTTTGTTTTGCTTTTGTGTGCAGAGTGTCTATAAAGGACAAACGAGTCCTCATCTACGTCCGCAGTCTTTCTAGATGTTAAAGAGGTGGCCACTGTGTGACCAAGTACTGTTCGTAAGCATAAATTATGTCCATTTTGTATTAAAATTCCTGGGAAAGAAGGTCTTCTAAAGATGTCAGCATTGGGCTGGGGATGTGGCTCAAGCGGTAGCGCGCTCGCCTGGCATGCGTGCGGCCTGGGTTCGATCCTCAGCACCACATACAAACAAAGATGTTGTGTCCGCCGAAACTAAAAAATAAATATTAAAAAAAATTCTCTCTCTCTCTTTAAAAAAAAAAGATGTCAGCATTATAGCCCCCGGGTCAGTGACGGGCCAGAATGCTCATATTTTGAAGACATTTCCAAATTAGAACATTGCTACCTGTGGGCAGTTGACTCCAGACTATGGTGTATGTGGCAGACGAATCAAAGCCCTTACCTGAAACATCTCGTCTGGTGAGATGTTCAGAAGGGCCCTGCGTATGTTAAATGCAGAGGTGGCAAAAATATCGCTTTGTAGATATATTTTTGCTCAACTTCATATCAAATACTGTCTTTGGGGAGTGGAACTGTTAACCCACTGCTCTGAGTAGGGCTGTGGAGGTGGTTATACGTTTATTGTTTATTTAGTTACTTTAACTAGGTGCTGAGGATCACACCCAAGGCCTCACGCGTGCTAGGAGAGTGCCGTACCGCTGAGCCCCACCCTTGCAGTGTGCATATCATGGACAAAACGAGACCCAGTTTTGCAACTTGGCGTCTCTAGATGATAAAGAGATTGCCAGTGTATGACAAAGTAAAATTAGCACATTTTCTGCATTGTGTTAAATCCATGGGAAAGCTTGTCCTCTGTAAATAATTTCTGGCTGTGAATTTGTTTAACCATCTGTAAGCATCACATACGGCTGCACTTGTCCACTGGACTGAATTTAGAGAGAAGGAAGTGGGGAGGGAGAGATTTAAGGCCAAAACGGTCATGTTAGAAGATCCCTCGGATTATAACCACCGGGACGTGCACAGTTGTATTTATCAGTGCCGAGCTCGAGGAGGACAGGTTCTCTTGTGGGAGAGCTTCTGTATATTTAGAAGGGCTTGCCATGTTTGAAAGTAGACATCGTAGAATAAAACTTTTTGTAAATAGCTTTAAAAAATGGATGGGAAATACTGTGTTTGGAATCGTACCTGTTCACCAGGCTCACGGAGGTGGGAGGAAGAAGTGGCAAAAGGTGTCTTGTAGAATGTGCTGGAAACCGTAGCTTGCCCACGGCCGTTTGTTCCCTGTGTTTCACTGAACGTTGTCCTGCTGTATATATTGTGTACTTACTGGACAAAGGAGTCTTAATTTCACATCCAGTCTCCAGATATTAAAGAGTGTGCTGGTGTATCGATGAAAAAAAATTCATGTCCTTTAGTTTTATGGCTCTAATATCTTTCTTTCCCCAGGAAGGTCCTGAGCACCGTGACCCAAGATGCCAGGAGCCAAGGGGTCTGCCTCCCCCACAGGCTCCCCCAGGTCCCCAGGCAGCTGGGGCTTTAGACACGAGGAAAATGGATGCTACAATTTTATCCACTGACATTTTGCAAATTTGAAACGGGATGAGCTGTGAGCTTGGCTCAGCCCCTAAAGGGCTCCTGTCCAAAAGAGGCCCCAGGGCCTGGGCTTCCCTGGCCAGGGACACTGGGCCTGGCTGGCCCCTCTCACTGCACCTCCCTCCCCTCCTTCCCCGGGGCGTCAGAACCCACGGCCCCTCCCCTGCTCGGCCCCAGGACGTGTGCCTGCGGCCAGGCCTCTCTGATGAACGCAGCCTGCTCACCTCTGATTGGTGACGTTGCTCGTGGTGAAAAGGGTCATTCTCTTTGGCTCCCCTTGTTGAATTCCAGGAGTTCTGGGAGGCTCAGCTGGGGAGTTCTCCTGGTGGCAGCTGGTGTCTCCTGGGGCTGCCACCACCTGACGGCTCCGCTGGGCCCGGCGGGACGTCCAAGATGGCTCTTGGAGCAGAGATTTGGACCCAGGCCACCCAGTGCCCGTTCCAGGTACCAGCCCCTGGGTGGTCCTGGTGTGGGCTTCTCAGCTGTCCTCCTGAGCCTCGCGGGGCGGCTCCTGGACAGCTGCTCCATTTCAACGGCAAGACTGAGGGGGACACGTTTCCCTCCCAGCCAGGGCTTATTTTAGCTGCTTATTCTTTACGGTTTGTCAGCGTTCTCTGGCTTCTCCTTTATCTCCGTGGCAGGGCCTGCTGTCCAGGTGGGCAGTGGCCATCTCCCTGGTGCTTATGTCAAGGTCCCCAGCAGCAGTGACCTGCATGGAGCACCATTGGCACCTGGTCCCAGGACTGGTCCAGGTCAGTTGGAGGCTGGCTCAGCATCTGGGACCTGAGCCTTGAATGCTGGTCTCCTGGGCACCATGGGCATCTCCACAGGGGGCAGGTGGGTGCCCATCTGTGAAACGGGTGTGAAGGGCAGGGGTTTCAGTGATGTCCACCTCTAGGTCTTCCGTGGGTGGAGTCGTGAGGAACCGCGTCTCACTACTGGGAAACTAGTGGCTCATGCCACTCGGAGCCTCGTGTCTCTTCCACATAACGAATCAGGGGTAAGTGTCCAGGATCGGGGAGGGGCTCCACGGTGGTGATCAGGGACTTGTTGATGGACGTCTGGGTGGCTTTCTATTGCAGGGAGCCTCCTTGTCACTGTGTGGACAGACGCTTCCATTTCTCCCGGTGAATTCCTAGGAGCAGAATGGGTAGGTCAGGCACAGGTGTCTCAGGGCAATGGAAACTCACTGTTCACAACGCGGGAAGCCGGGAAATTCAAGATCAAGGTGCTAGCAGATCCGGCGTCTGGCAAGGGCTGGTGCCTTCTTGCTGTGTCCTCACATGGCCGGAGGAGCAAAAGGCTAACCAGCTCCCTTGAGCCTCTTCACAAGGGCGCTAACTCCGTCCAGGAGGCCCCACCCTTGTGATTAAAACCGTCCCTAAGCACCCCCCCTTAGTACTCTCACACGGGCAACCAAGTTTCAGTGCAGATTCTGTAGGAGACACAACCTCCCATCCAGAGCAGTAAGAGACGGCCAGACGGTTTTCACAGTGGCTGAGCCGTGGCACTGGGACCAGCTGTGACGGGAGGTGATTCTGTCAGCCTACACTTGCTATTTTCAATCTCAAGTGGTGCCCCTCCTGCTGGGTATGAAGGGTAACTGGAGGGTTTCCGTTTCCTGTCTCTTGAGGGTTGCTAACGTCTTTTCAAGTGCGAGTTGGCTGTTTGGATGCATCTTCTCTTTGGTGAGGTGCCTCTCGTATCTTCTGCCTGTTTAAGACTGTGGGTCATTTCATGTGTAGGAGTGCTTTATGTGAGGTGATGCTGGTCCTCCCTCGCATCCGGACAGGCATTAAGATACCGTTCCTGACCCGGGAGAGGCTCTCGGTTCTCTTAAGGGTGTTTTGTGCTCACTATAAATTCTCCATTTTCATGGCGCCCTGTTTACCGCTTTTTCTTTTATGCTAATGCTTTTGCCTCTTGGTCAAGGAAACTCCTCCTGCCGGTGAGGCCTTTTGAACAGCTCAGTCCATCTCCTCTCCCCCTCTGGCTGCCTCCGCCAGAGCTCCCAGAGGATGGGGTGGGACATCTGTGGCCAAGTGAGACCCTAAAGCCTAGATTACCCCCCCTCCAGGGCAGATCAGTGTCCCCACCCCCTTCCTTTCCCTGGGAGGATTTGGGTTTACGTTGGGCTGCAAGATTAAAGCCCAAGAGATTAAGAGATCGCTTCTGCCCAGGGAGGCAGTTCCGCCTTTTCGCTCCTGATGGGGGTTGGGATAGGAGTAGAAGGAGGGCAGGTGGGTGGGGATGGAGCCTCCTCCACCTCAGGACCCCCCTTCTGGTGGGCCACTCCCTCCCTGTGTGGCCTTGGGCCTTGGCTCACCTCCCTGACTCAGAGAGTTTGGGGGGTCAGCGGAGTCGAGCTGCTTAGTGGGCACTCGCACGGGCTGTGGGTTCTCAGAGCGTGGCCCCCACACCAGCGGTGGCGGCGTTAGCTGGCAACTTGTAAGAAAGGCCAGCTCGGTGGACACGGGCAGGTCGTGAGTTCAAAGCCGGCCTCTGCCACACGGTGAGACCCTGTCTCATAGAAAGAAAAGCCAGCCGGGGGCCGTGGTGCACACCGGTCATCCCAGCACTCAGGAGGCTGAGGCAGGAGGACTCCAAGTTCACCACCAGCCTCTGCAACTCAGCGAGACTCTGACTCAAATAAAAAAAGGCTGGGGGTGTAGCTCAGCTGATTTAAGAAGTGGGTGGTCCCCAAAGGCGGTTCCCCAGGAGCCCTGAAGGCCCTTTCCTGGTCTCCTTTGGGCCTCTCCCTGCCTCCCAGGAGCCTTTCAGCTGACGCTCAGGAAGTGGGTGCCAAGAGCTGGCCCCCACTGCACGGTCCCCAGGCCCAGAGAACAGGGACTCAGTGCTGGGGGTCAGGAGATCATTATGCCTCGGTTCATCTCTGACTCAGGATTCAGTGGTCCCCAATCAGGCAGCAGAGACCGTGGGCAGCTGGAGGCAGAAAGGGGAAGAGGGGACCGTCTCCCTGCCAGCTCCCTCCTGCCACTAGCGATGGGAGTCTCTCCCCTTGACGCTGGAGCATGAGCAAGGAGCAGCCAGGCCGAGGGGAGGTTTATGGGTGGCGCTGAGCCACCCTGGGAGCTGGGGGGCCGGGCCAGCCTCCCTGCTCCCTGCGGCCCTCTCTGCCAGGTCACCAAGGGCCCTGTTCTCTGGAGGGGACCTGGCCTCAGCGATGCCCCTCCGTTCCCACTCTTTGCATCTGAGGGGGGCAGGGACTGGTAGAGGGAGGAGCCCGTGGACGTGACCACAGGCCGGCTCCTCCTCTGGGTCTCAGTTTCCTCATCTGTAAGCCACCGGCCGGGCCCAGCCCGGCCAGTGTCACAGGGTGTTGTGGCTGTGAGCCAAGAGGGGTCGAGGGTGAGGTTGGACGAGGACCTCATCTCCTACTGCTGGGCTTCTGAGGCCCATGGGGCTGGGGCGGGGGCACTGCTGCTTCTGAATCTGTGTGTGATTTGCACACACAGGTGTGTCTGCCCGGATATGTGCACAGTCTGAAGCCACTGTTACTGTGCCTGGTTGGTATGTGCGGGCGGGTTTGTACACGCGTGTACAATGCCCTGATGGCCCTGGGCTGCGGCCCTCCTTCTCCTCCCCCGCCGGCAGCTGGGTGGGGGTGGGGCGTGGCTGGCGCTCAGGCCCGGGCCCCATCCAACTGGTTATTTATTGATTAATTCTGCTGCCAGCTGATGGATGCCAAGCCTGTGCCAGGCACAGGCCCTGGGCTGATTTACATAATTAAAAACCATCAGTAACAGAGCCAGCCTCGCTCGCCAACGGCTTCCTCTAGCGTGACAACAGGCCGGGCCTCTCCCTCCCCTTCCTGTCCCCCAAGGCTTCCTCCCTCTGGGCCCTGCCGTCTCCCTGCCCTGCTCCGTGTCACTGCCTCAGCCCAGCCCTGGAGAGACTGGAGTGACCTGGAATCTCTGGTCACCGGCTGAGATTCCATTAGCCGGTGGTTCCGAGGCTCTTTGATGGAGAGTCCCAGCTTATACGACTCAGCTGTGATCCTCGAGAACGTGATTTTTCAAGAGTCTATTACTCTGTGTGACAAAGGAGAGAAGTGTTTGTTCTCTGCAGCCCTCACGGCTCCCGAGAAGGCGGAGGCCGCGGGGTGGGCTGGGCCAGCCAGCCTCTCTTTAGAGGAGTTTGTCCCTGCAGAGGGGGGGCAGGAGCCGCAGGAGTCTGTGCAGAGGGAAGGAGGACCAGGGACCAAGCCCGAGAGCTGAGGATTCTCTGGCTGTGGCCCCACTTCCAAGACGACGTGGGAAGGAGACATTGGATCTCGTGGAGAGTGTGATGTCCCTCAGGAAAGACTCCTGTGGTTAGAGAGGCAGTTTGGGGGGACAAGCGTGGGTTTCTCCACTTCTGGGCTGTGTGATCCTGGGGACGTTACTCAGCCTCTCTGAGCTGCAGTGTCCTCACCTGGGAAGTGGGGGTTGTCTTGAGGTCCAGTGTTCACCCCTGGAGAGTGCTAGAACACAGCCGTCCCAAGTGAGCCCCTAGTGGGTGGGGGCTGATGTTGTGTGGCAGTGAGGTTTTTGGGAGGCCACTGGTGTTTGGGGTTGAGGCCCGTGTGCTCATGGCCCAGGACACCAGAACGACAATGACCAGGTTTGCAAACAAGAAAGGGTTTATTCACAAGGCAGCCAAAGAGGAGGGGGGGGGTCCAGTGCCCCCGCCGAGGGCAGGGTTTGGGAGTCTTTATGGGGTAAAGACACAGGGTGGTCCGAGGCCTAAGCTCAGCTCTGAGGTGGAGTTCTGGACCTTTGGACATCCAGAGGTCACTCACCGGCCCTGGCACAGGCCCGAGGGAAGGGCGGGTGGCTTCAGTGTTCTGAGCTACCTCTGCCACGACTCCACGCAGAGGGGGCTCCACAGCCCGGCAGGGGGTGCACTGCTTGGCCAGGTGACCCCTAAAGTGGCAATAAAAGCAAGCGCCAGAGGGCAGGGAAGTGGAGCCCCGTTCAGATTCAGCAGAAGGTAGCCCCCCTCCCCGGCAGCCTGGCCAGGCGTGCTGACCCTGGGGACATGGGGCCCAGCTCCCAGCCCAGCCCGTCGGGCGGGGGACCTGGCCTCTCTCTGGTCTCTCTGGTTCATCTGCCCCCACCCCGGCCTCTTCCTCCCCATTTCCGTTGCCACAGCCCCACTGCTTGGCCGAACCCTTCCCCCTCCCCAGACACCCCACCTCCAGCGGCTTCCCCCGGAGGTTTTGAGGGGAACATGGCCCCACCCTGGTCCCCATCCACCATCGCGGCCTGGAAGTCCCCTCGCAGACCCTGTCCCCCAGCCTCAGGGTGAGGGCCACATGTCCTGGTCCTAGCACAAAGGACCTTCAAGTCGCAGTCGGCAACCTGAGAACCTGGGGCTGGAGATGCCCAGAGCACCGGGCTTCAGCTGGACGCCTGGGACCCTCTGCAGGGTGACCCCTAAAATGGCAATAAAAGCAAGCCTGAGGACAGGGAAGTGGAGGGTCTGTTCAGATCCAGCTTAGTCAGATCCGGAGAAGATGTGCCGAAGCTGAACAAGTCGAAGTGAATGAGCAAGGAACGTCCCACGGAGCAGCGCAGTGCGCGCAGCGTAGCAGAACGGAACTTCCTTAGGAAGTCAAGCACCGCCAGGTGTGGCCCACGCCTGGGACCCAGGGACTCGGGAGGCCGAGGCACGAGGATCCCCACCCAGTTCAAGGCCAGCCTCAGCAACTGGGCAGGACCTGACTCAAGATGAAATTTATTTCTTTTTTTCTTTTCTTTTTTTCCAAAATGAAATTTAAAAAGGGCAGGGGATGTAGCTCAGGGGTAGAGTGCCCCAGGTTCAATCCCCAATACTGCCAAAAAAACCAAAAAAACATTAAATGCAGACTTCCCACATGGAAGTGGGAACATCCTAGAAGGGACCCAGAGGAGGGACACAGACAAGTGCACCCCACGTTCCCAGTGCCAAAAGGTGATGCAGCCAAAGTGGCCGACAGAGGAACAGATAAGGAACAGGTGACTCTATGTATAGGGGACTATTATTCAGCCTAAAAAAGGAATGAAATTCAGATGCTTGGCTACAACACGGATGGACCTTGGAAACATGCGAAGTGGAAGAAACCAGAAGTAAAGGGTGAACATTGTCCCGTTCCGTTTACACAAGGTCCCTGGGACAGTTGACAAAGTGGCCAGGCCTGGGGGAGGGATGGGGGGGGAGGGGAGCTCTCACTCAAGGGGTTCAGAACTCACATCGGGGTGAAGCAAAGTTCCGAAGACGGGCCGTGGTGCTGGCTGCACAGTGACGAGGGGACTTAACGCCCCTGGAGCGCACGTCTCAACAGGACCGAAACGGTACATCTTAAAACTGTCTTTTCGTTGTTGACGGGCCTTTATTTTATTCATCTATCTGTACGCAGAGCTGAGGCTCGAGCCCAGGCCTCACGTGCTGGGCAGATGCTCGGCCTCTGAGCCCAGCCCCGGCCCAGAACGGTTCATTTTTAGGTTGTTTAGACTTGACCACAGTTTTCAGAAGTAGCCTCGGATCACCAAAGGGAAGTCTCTCTCCAACCCTCTGTCCCCGCTCACTCGCAGGATGGAGTGCGTCCGGTCCCCTGGCAGGCCGCCGCCTTCCTTTACCCTTGATCTCGCTGAGTGTGGCCACCCATCGCCAGCGGCAGGGTGTCGGAGGGCTCTGGCCAGGGCCAGGTGGCGTTCAGCAGCGCTGCGCTCTGGGGATTGGACACGGCCCCAGAGGCGACAGAGGAGCCATTATTCGCGGAATTTCCCTTCAGTGCCCATCAGAAGAGGAGACGCCACACACAGGCACACTCCGGGGCTGGGGAGTCCTGGGGACAGCGGCCTGACCCTGGCTTTGGTTGCATTTCACGCCGGAGAGAGTTCCTGCTTGTTGGGCAGCGGCTTGGACGGGGTTTAATAGGGTTATGCTGCTCACGGTTTCTCCTGCTGAGCAGAGGAGAAGGTCAATCCCTGGGGCAGAGGAGCCCTCGGGGTCGAGGAGTCCCCGCAGTTGGGTTTACAGCTCGGGCATCTCTGTATCACAGGTGTAGATTGTATCTCAGCTCTGTGGTGACAGTGTCAGATGGCTGGCCATGTTGCTGAGAGTGACGCGGCGTGGTGACGCACCTGTAACCAGCTCTCAGGAGGCCGAGGCAGGAGGAGCGCAGGCTTGAGGCTGGCCTCAGTAACTTAGCGAGACCTTGTCTCAAACTTACAAATAAAAAGGGCTGGAGGTGCAGCTGGCGGCAGAGCGCCCCTGGATTCGGTGCCCAGTCCTGGGGGTGGGGGAGTCACGAGAAGGGCTTTTGTGCCACAGAGGACGGCTTTGGAGCTCTCTCTTTTTTTTTCAGAAAGCTCAGTGTGCACCTCCAGTCAACAGGGAGGATCTGGGGCTGGAAGAGCAGACCTTCGTCCTTCCTGTCCCTTCTGATGGCTGGCTGGAAAGACGTCCACCCAGGGACCCTGGTTCGGCTGTGATTTTCTCCATTTTTCTCAGCAGGAAGCTCGGGAGGCGCCCTGACCCGCCGGCTGCACTCGTGGGTGAGTGCGGAGTGCGGCATCCTGGAGCCGGGGCCTCCAACAAGGTGGCACTGCCTGGCCCCGCAGGCCACGTGACAGGCATGCTCTCTGTCTGGATCCCTGTGTCCCTGTCCAGTCTGTGTCGTGACTCACAAGGCAGCCATCAGAGTACCCCAAAACGTCCTCCCTACGGTGTCAGGGACAGCGATGAGCAAGACCCAAATAAAATGTGCAGCACATTCCCTCACGTCTGGACAGTGACAGAAAATCGAGCTACAATTGCTTTCGTGCATTCTGAGAGCTGGGTCTCTGCCCGAAGGCGGTGATGTAAATAAGGCTGATGTTTACCTCTCTGTTGCGAAACGATCTGAGCCTACAGGAGCAGTGCTGTCTGCAGATGGCTGCTCTAGCTCCTGCCATTGCATCTGCCTTTCAGCTGAGGCAAGAAAACGAAGGGGAGGTACCTACCTTTCTTTTTGAAGGCATTAACCGGAAATTGTAGGACTCGTTTCTGCTCTCATTCCATTGGTCAGAATCCAGTCATGTGACCCCGTCTATGTGTGTGGCAAGCACCTATCTAAATAGCTGTGTCTTTTATTCCTGCAGAAGGAGGGGCGGGGGACACTGGGGACACAACCGCAGAGTCTTCCTCAGTGACTAGTGGCCAGGCAGTGTTTCAGTTGGTGAGGAAGAACAATGGACAGGTCAGTGAACACCCTGGCCTCTGGGAGGAGAGCTGGGGCCCTGGGAGCCCAGAGGAGGTTCCCAGGTGGAGGGAGTGGCCAGTGGCTGGGCACAGCTGGCCGGAAGCCCAGGAAGGGGAAATGCAAAGGAAGGAGGGGGAGGGGACCCTTGAGGGGCATCCCCAGGGAGTGGTGGGGACAGGCCCAGGGCAGTGGAGCCGGGCCTTGGTGAGAGGAAGGGACAGAGTGGCCTCAGAAGGAGGAGTGTGGATGTCGGGGACACCTCTCAAAGGATCGGAGGTCACTGTGGCTTGAGGGCAGATGGGGAGGAGAGATGGAGGAGGCTTGGGGACACAGGGGCGTTTTCCTTCTATGACAGGAAGCCTGAGGCCGGCAAGATGGCTTGGATCAATGTTCCGCCCCAGTCCAGGTTGGAAAAGTCTGGCCCCGTGTGGGGTGCCTGGCTTCTGACACGCGAGAAGAAAAGACTTTCCGGGAACCCGCCTGCTGCTCTCTCCTTCCGTCTCACTGGTCACCTGGGTCACAGGGCTTCCCTCGCTGCAAGGGAGCCTGGGACATTGGGAGCAGGGTCTCAGGATTGGCTTGGAGCAGGGCACAGAGCCTCTTCCCGGGCAGCAGGGTTCTGTTGAGGCACAGAAGTGGGGTATCCCCAGCTCTTGTTCGGCAGTGGCTTCTGTGCCGGTGAAGTGAAGTGTGTGTTGGTGGGTGCCCGCGGGAGTCACCCATCCTCCGTGTTGTTGGCCATTAACTTCAGGGTCCCCTCCACCTGCAGTGTGACTTGGAAAAAGATAAAATAATTTTGCAACGAGCTTCACCTGTTTGCTGCGGGCGGCTTGTCCCTCCCTGTGTGGCTGGTTTGCAAGTGTCTGGGCAGTGGCACAGCTGTGCCTGGCTTCTCTATGTGACAAGCCACTTGGAAAAACACCTCCACATCTCTGGTCTCTTTTCTGCCATTCGTGATGGGAGTCATCGATTGTGCACTGGAGAGTTTTATTTTGAGCTTGTTCTATCTAGTAAACTCCAATGGTTTCCCCCAGGGACGCCTCGATGTGTTTTGGGGGGAAAATGTGAAAACTTCACGGGGTCCTTTCCCAGCCAGCACCAGGCAGCTGACAGAGGAGCCCACACGGGTCACAGGTGACGCAGCTCTGGTGTTCGGTGTTTATGGCTGTGCTTTCTGTGTTTTACAAAATCATACATTTCTGAGCCAACACATTCCACAGGCATATCAAATCCTATTTCACTAGGTTACGACTGAGTATATTTTGGATTATACAATTTTTGTTGAAATTTTGACTCTTACGTTGATATTTCAACAATTCCATTTTGCATTATATGTTATGTTTACTTTTCTTATTTGGAGCTATCGTACAACTGCAAACACATATTGAGATCTTGCCATGTGCCAGATGTTGGCAGTTTTGATTATTATTTATTTTTTGTGGTGCTGGGGATTGAACCCAGGGCCATGCACACACTGGGTAAGCTCGACTCTGAGCTAACTCTAACCCACACAGAGGCAGTTTTTAAAACATGTCCCATTTTTAAAAAATACTTCTGTTGTGGGACGGGGTCTATGTTCCTTCCTCTCCAATCTGGGCTGGCCCAGGCTTGGTGGCCCTGGGAAGCTCAAGCAGCAGATCACAAGTTGGAGTCCAGCCTCAATGATTTAGGGAGATCCTGTCTCAAAATAAAATAAAGAACGGGCTGCGGGTGTAGTTCAGTGTCCAATGCTCTTGGGTTCCATCCCCAGGACCTCCAAAAAGAAAAAAAAAGAATCTGGATGGCACTTAGTGACCCTTGCTGTCACCAACAGGAAGCAGTGGAAGTGATACATCCTGGTCTCCAGGTGCATATGCCTTCTGTCTGGCTCTCGTGGGACGCTGGTCTGCCTTGTCAAAGCCCAACTCCCCTGTTTCTGCCATGCCAGAGGGAGGCCCTCAGTCACCGGCTCCAGGGCACCTGCCAGTTGACAGTGGGCACCAACCAAGTGCCAGCTTTGTGGCTGAGCCATCTTGGATGTCCCCCTGGGCCCAGCGGAGCCGTCAGGTGGTGGCAGCCCCAGGAGACACTGGCTGCCACCAGGAGAACTCCCCAGCTGAGCCTCCCAGAACTCCTGGAATTCAACACGGGGAGCCAAAGGTGCGCCTCTTCCAGGCTGCATTCATCAGAGAGGCCTGGCCGCAGGCGCACGTCCTCGGGCCGAGCAGGGGAGGGGCCGTGGGTTCTGACGCCCCACCTGGGGACAGTGGGGGAAGGAGGGGAGGGAGGTGCATGAGAGGGGCCAGCCAGGCCCAGTGTCCCTGGCCAGGGAAGCCCAGGCCCTGGGGCCTCTTTTGGACAGGAGCCCTTCAGGGGCTGAGCCAAGCTCATCCCCTGTTTCAAATTTGCAAAATGTCAGTGGATAAAATTGTAGCATCCATCCCCCCAAGTGTAAAGCCCACCAGCTGCCTGGGGACCCCGGGGACTGTGGGAGCCTGTAGGGGACGTGGACCCCCGGTTCCTGGCATCCTGGGTCACGGTGCTCAGGAGCTTCCTGGGAAAAGATATTATTACAGCCATAAAAACAAAGGACCTGAAGTCTAACTGTAGGTGGCACCTTGGAGCCCATCTCAGACCACCTGCCAGCCAGGCTGAGCCAAGGGAAGCCACGTGGGAGCCATCACTCCTGACCATGGTGGCCAGGCAAAGCGGGGGAGGAGGGAAGCCCGGACAAGTCTGGGAAGCCGTCACCTGTCCCCAGCACCCAGTCAGGAAGCAGGGACGCTAGGATTTGAGGCTGTGGGACTCCACCCTCCTGTCTCCTGGGACAGCCCTCACAGCCAGCTGCTCTCCTGAGGGTCCCTGGAGTTGTCCCCCTCCTCCGGGGAGCCTTCCTGGATTGCTCTGGCCCGGTCACGCCCACCCTCCCTCCTTCCTTTCCAGTCCAAGGGCCAGGCCCCAGCTTTCCTGCTCATCCGTCCCCCTGGTTACCAGAGGGGGGCTCCTGGCCCAGGCCCCACCCCCAATCTACCCTCATTACCCTGGCTGCAGTGATTGGGCCAGAGGGTGAGCATGTGACCCAGGCAGGCCCAATCAGAGTCCCCGCTGGCGCAGTTGGTTGGAGAGGCCGGACAGCTCGCCCCACTCTGATCCTGAGCCTGTGCCGGGAGCCCCGTGCTCCGGTTCCATTGCCATCGGGAGTGAGAGGGATGCTGGTGGCCCCTTCCCCTCCCCAGCCTTCCCCAGGCACCTTTGTGGGATTCAGCCAGGTCAACCCAGGCTGCCCTTGGGTTTCTGTCACACCCAGTGAGTCCCAAGTGATAACTTCCTCGATGGTGTTTGAGGATGGGCACCCCAGGACATAACCTGGCACCCCGTGAATGATGAGGGACAGTGTGATCCTCTCCAAGGAGGGCAGGGCTCTTCTGAGCTCCAGCCGGCTTGGCTGTGACACTGACCCTGGTCTTGTCCCCCTCCTGGCCTTCCCTCGGCCACTGGCAGGGTCTGCATTGAGTCCCCATCTCCAGGCTTCCTCCTCCTGAGTTCCCAGCAGGGACAGGGCTGGGCTCTGGGGAAGGCGTGGGGAACTTGGCCATTGGCAGAAAACTGGCAACTCTGGCACCTCCAGGTGCCGCTGGGGAGTCGGCACACCTGGGGTCTGCTTGGGCTGGTCTGAGGGTGCCCTGAGGCCCGTGGTCCTGCATGAGGGCAGGCAGGAAGCAGGCGACGTGGGGAGACGGGGAGGCTTCAGGGAAGCTGGGGTTGAAGCCGTGCTCAGCACAACCCAAGGGGCCAGGGGGTGAGGATGGGGGTTGCTCTTTAATCTCAGGTCTGGGCTGGGGGCCAGAAAGGGACAGATGCCCCTAGGGCATCCAGAGGGTGAAGGAAGGACATTACGCCACTGTACCTGAAGGAGAGGTAATGGGACACCTGCGCCCTGCAGCAGGACTCACCTGGCTGTGGGCGGGGCGAGACCTGGTTAGGTGTGCCCAGCGCCCACCCTGGCCCCTTCCTCCCTCCCACACCTTTCCTCCTCTGTTGGTGACTCTTCCCCGGCTCACACTTCATGGTTTTATTTAGCAGGTATTTTTGACATGCCCACCATAGGGGAGACCCCGCCTTACCCCAGTGGGGGACGGAGGGAGAGGGAGGGTTTAAGGTGTGGTTTGGGGGCAGAGATGACAGGAGGTACTGATGGATCAGATTTGTGGTAGCCCAGTTGGCATCCAGGGACATTGGGGTTTTAGGCCTGAGTAACTTGGTAGCAGCCATCAACCCTCCTTCACCATGAGCTGGGGTCCCCTACCTAGAGCGACCTTCAGACATGCAGATTCTAGACAGAGAGAACCCTTCTGGGAAGTGACAGGCCATAGTGGCTTAAGAATGAGACTCACGGGCTAGGGCTGGGGCTCAGCGGTAGCGCACTTGCCTGGCATGTGTGAGGCACTGGGTTCGATTCTCAGCACGTAAAAATAAATAAAACAAAAGTCTATCAACAACTAAAAAAAAAAATTAGAAAAAAAGAGAAGGAGACTCACCTAAAACACTGAGAGCCCCGTGGTCATGGTGTGGCTGCGTCAGCAGGAAAGCCTGGGTGAACCTTTGCTCTTTCCTCACTGTGTGATCTTGGTCAAATTGCTTAGCAACTCTGAGCCTCATCAATAAAATGGGAACTAAAAGGATCAGTGCCTCGTAGGATGGTTGTCATTGTTCCCTGAGACTAATTCATGTGGAGCCCTTGGCGTTGAGCCTGAAAGAGAGTAAATGTCCCATTTTGAGCTATTATTGTGATTCTAGGTAGACTGTGGCCAGATTGCAGACAACTCCAGATGCCAGGCTGAGGGGGGGCGCTTCACCCTGTGGACTCAGAGCCTGGAAGTTTTTGAGCAGAGAAAGAACATGAAGAAACCAGCCAGTCAGCGCCTTTCCAGTCTGCAGCCTCCGGAGCCTCGGAGCCCGCAGCAGGTCAGCAGTGACAAGCCTGGTCGCTGACCTCCAGCTCCCAGGGGCCTCGGGCTGACCCAGTTCCAGACCAGGGCGCAGAAGCCGGCGAGCCCCATCCCCGGCGTCCCCAGGCAGAGCTAGATGGATGGTTTAATAACCGGCTGCCAGGCTCACCTCGAGGCAGGGCCGCCGAGCCTCCGGGACTCACGCCACCCCTGCTGTGGCAGCAGGATCCCAGGATGGAGGGATTTTGGAACTCTGCACAAGGGTGCCCGGGCCCAGATGGCAGATGCCCAAATGGCAGACGCCCAATGGTGCAGGGCGCGGAGGCCCTGTCTGCTGGGCAGCTCGTCAGGTCGCTGCGGAGAGCCCCGCCCCCTCCACCCCATCCAGCGCCTCCTGGGGTGTCTCAGGGGACCGCTGGCTCCAAGGGCTGGGGAGGTGGTCCGCCGCGGGGCTGTCCATGCCCTGAAGACCCCACCTCTGTTGGACCTGCTGGGGTGAGGTGGGGACACCCACCGTCTGACCCTCGCACCCTTGGGTGGGAAGCTCACCCCAGCACCCTGTTTGTGGCCTGGTGGGGGTCGGGGCACCCAGGGCACAGACCTGGGTCAGACACAGGATTGCTCAGGTCTTAGTGGAGGTACCAGATGTATCAGCAGGGGGACAGGAGTCCCCCTGATGTCCTGGGGCACGTTCCTGGGCTGCTTTACCCCGACTGGCAGGGTGGTGGCCTAGCAAACCTGACCGCCCAGTAACCTCAGCCCTGGGCCAGTAGGCAGGTAGCCGCCAGCCCCCCAGTGGGATCTTCTGGGTCCCCTTCCACTGTGGGACCTTTGGGTCTGAGGGCATCCATCTGGATAGTACTCCCCAGAGTGTGGCTCAGGCCCTCACAGGGACACTGGGCCCCATTGCTGGGCACCTTTTCTCTTGTCCAGCCTCATGAGGAACTCTGCGTGCACCCTTTGTCCTCATCAGGTCTGGCACTTCTCTTGCCTCGTGGGCTACGGAGAACACAGACGCCAGAACCACAGGATCTAGTGGAACCGCGTCGCCTGCTCCGGCCCCACCCCACTGCTGCCCTCCCCTGGCTAATCTGCACGCAGGACTAGGTGACCAGACAACCCATCTCAGACCTCCTGGCCTCCAGACGGCCCTGGCTCCTGGGGTCCACATCCCTTGTGGAGCCTTCCCACTGTGAGCAGGGGGACCTGTGTGACAACAGGAAACTGCAGACGTGACAGTGGGTGACTTCTAAAAGACACCGTGGCCCCTGTCTTGGGCGGCAGCTGCCATTCCTGAGGCCACCCAGGCAGTCCTGTGGAGCCGTCCAATGTGACAAGGAACTGAGGCCCCCAACCAAGAGCCAGCCCCGCTTGCTGGCCCCTTCAGACAGCCATGCTGGGCACACCCTCAGCCACGTCCAGTCCTGGGGTGGCGTCGGGGGCTCAGCCAGACTTCTCGATGGCAAACTCACAAGCCCCCTCGAGTCTGAGCCACCCCCGCCCCGCAATCCCAGGCCACAGAAACTGAAATAGTAAGCTTCTCTTTTATTTATTTATTTATTGCTGATTCAAGCCACCGAGGTTTGGGGTGGCTCCTTACACAACAACAGGACTAATGTGGTCACCCGCACACTGTTCTGAAGGATCTGAGAGGAGAAAAGTGTCCCCAGGCTGAGGGAACAGCACCATCAAAAGCACAGTGTGGAGGTGGTGATGGGCAGGGGGCAGGGGGCGGAAGTGAGGGGAGGGGCATCTGTCTTGCTTACTGCCCTGCAAAATGCCCATGGG